TTTTGAGCACAAACTGATCTCTGAGAGTCGGATAACTGCAAGTCTGGGAGATAAATTTTGATCAAAGTGTGCTGAATTCTGAGGGCCTGAGGCGATAGCCCTAAGCTTTTGTATTAAAACGTCTTATGCGACGACGCTGAACGCACGCGTTTTATGCGGTGACGCTGAGCGCGGTTTATGCGGTGACGCTGAGCGCGGTTTATGCGGTGACGCTGAGCGCGGTTTATGCGGTGACGCTGAGCGCGGTTTATGCGGTGACGCTGAACGCGTTTTGTGCATCGCTGCCACAAGAAGCCGTCAGCAAATGAAAGCAAGCGCGACGTGGAGGTTAATTAACGGCAGCTCGAATTACTGGTATATGGAGACACGCGCGCTGCATATCAAGATGGCGGCAATATTGTGGTAAAATGTGATTTTACCACAATATTGTGGTAAAATGGCATGAAAGTTTAATGGTGGCCAATTAAGGTCCGTTGATAATTTATACAATAATTCGTTTTGGATTTGATCGTCGAACCATGTAAATAGATTTGATAAAGAAAAGGAATTTTGAAGTTTAACTCAGGATAAATTTATTTTAAGGTCTTTCACCACACCACTGCATTGTTCGATCACTGCAATCAACCAACATGAAACGCAAATGCATCTAAATCTGCATTTGATCAGCCCTCGTCTTTAGTTTAGAATTTTTTAAGTTTAATTCCGTTTTTACATTTTTTTAGTTTAGTTTTAGGAGTTCAGCTTAAGGAGTTTTTTTTCAGTTTAGTTTAGTTTCAGAGTTTTTTTAGTTTAGTTTTAAGAGTTCAGTTTCAAGAGTTTTTTAGTCAGTTATAAGAGTTTTATTCATTGTACTTTCAAGATTTTTATAGTTTAGTTAAATTTATAGAGTTCAGTTTCAGGAGTTTTGTTTAGTTTAGGTTTTGTTAGTTCTTTAATTTAGAATTTTTTCTGCCCAAATAGGCAACTCGGGGTCTCGCACTAGAGGTCTGTCATGAGCAGAACCAGACATGCTAATTATATTAGATGCGGCAACACATGCTGTGAGAGCGTGCGAGGATGACCGTCACTCCACGGGGAAGTGAATATGAGATGCACCACTGCATTGGAATAACTGTCACTCTGGATACCTGAATTCAAATGTGTGATTCATTGAGCAATTGTTATTCATGATACATAAGCGCGATACGTGTGATTCGTTACAGAGCTGGAATTAACTACACTTGTGAAACGCTGAAGCAAATATGTGTGATTTTGCACAGGTTTGACGTAATTGTCTTCCTAGAAACTCAAGAACCTACTAAGATGTGAATAATTATCATGTTGATGAATGCCCCGGTGAGATACGCACCAAAAATATGTGATGAAATGCGTGACTGGTATTATTGACAGATAAAATATTTAAGTCTTAATATGTGACATGCGACCATCGAGGGAAAGATTCGAAAGAGGATTAAATTTAAATTTCTAGGATTAAATTTCTGATAGGAATAAAAATTGAATTTGAATGATTGCAACGATGATTTTAGCTTTATTTGTACATCATTTTATCTATTTTTATATATTTATTTTGATTTAAGAGAATTTATGTAATTGCTTTCTATAAGTTGACAAAATTACAAATTACTTGCTATAAATCATTACGAGTGAGCCATACAATTAATATTTTACGCCATCTTGATGTTAAATGCAAAATTATACTCAAACTGTTATACTCAAACAAGCATGTATTGCCATAAAATAAAAAAACTTCCTTTTAAGGATGAAATTTAATGTTTTTAGTAACTTTGTTGTGGTTAATTTAACAAATAAATACGAAAATGAAGCCTCCAGTGACATTAAACTGTGATCGCATGGCCAACAGCTTTAACTATTGCAAGAAACAATGATAAATTACTATTAAAAAGTATAATATTAAAGCAAAATTCAAATCCATAATATCAGAATCTAAACCTATATGTACTCATAGCCAAGTCATCTATAAAGCCCGTAAATTATTTCAGCTTCGGAGCATTTTTTTTGTGGTGGAATCACGAACGATGCCTGTGGAAAACATGCTAATACGAAGTCACGTCCAAGACTTGAAATATAAACGAGAAATTATCTGTGTCATATTGCTATTTATTACAGTGTTCACAAATAAAATAACTTATTTCGCGCCTCGGTTGGTCTCATTGAAATAAATTTATTGCTTCAACAATTAAAAAAGAAATTACGACGAATTCATTTGCTCATTGAACGAACGAGTTAATGAAAATAATTATGAATAATGTTTCCATTCATTAAATATTGAAAAAAATAGATTATGCTTGGGAAATGAAATCCAATTATCGCGATTGTTTTGTTATTTTTAGAATAATCTACAACACTGATGTTAACTAACGAGTATACTTCGGAACCAATGTTAATTTAAGAGAAATATAGCGAAGAAGATCCAAAGTATTACAATTAGTGCAATTAGTATAGAAGATCTAAAGTATTACAATTAAAAGATACAATTACAGGTTGAACGCAAGAACAGATAATGAGATTTCTTGCTCAGCTCCATGAAGGCGAGTCTAATGAGACGTTCCACGACTCAAATTATCAGAATTCCTTATCGATGAACTTTGCATCATGCCTTGCCAGTGCACCTCTCCGCACGCGACAAAACTTTAACCCTGATGAATATCATAATGAATTTTTGTGCTTGTGTCTCGCGGCATCGTAGCCAACAATAGCACCCCATGATTAATTTTTCAAAAGCTTTAGCGAAGTCCAGTTATACTACGTCAACGCCAGCTCCCTCCTCCAGTAAAGCCATACGGTGGTGATGGTGTTCTGCAGTAACTGTGACAAACAGGATCGATTTCGTCGGAAACCGTGTAGTCCATTATTATACAGGTTAGTCTCTTCCATATGCTGGACAAGTCTCCTCGCCCCTACCTTCTCAAAAACCTTGATCACATGTGAGGTCGAGGTTACAGGCCTGTAATTTTGGGGTCTGTCCCGGATCTCATTTATGGTTTCCTCATTTGTTATTCCTGAGACCCTCAGGAATAAGGCCCTCCATCATCGAGGCTTTCCAGAGCATTGTGAGCTTATCCTTCAGTGCTCCAACACACTTCTTCTGTGGGGTAAGTGCCAGTCAGTACCCACACAGTAAACCAACAGGATTGTAAGTGATAGACACTGGAACTGAGATTTTAATGCAGTGAAAATGAATACAAGGTGGGCTCTGAATATAAGTATTACGATATGAAAAAATAGTGTAAAGAATAATACCCTTGGCAACGTGCGTATCTGTTGAAGATTAAATCTAATCAATGATCGTCGTTGAAAATGAATAAAAAAATAATAATTCAATATAACAAAGTAAAAGAAAGTTCAGAATTCAGAAAGTAAAAAGGAACCTATAAGAGCTTAAACTAACCTGCAGCGGGGATCAGCCGAACGATACTGATCAACGAGAAAATTGTGTGCGCGACGTTAACTTCCTAACGGTGTTGCCGAGGTAAAAGTAAATTATAATTTCATTACAAAATAAAAGTCGCAAAATGTCTAACACAACACTTCAACAGCACAGCTGGAATTCCGTCGGGTCCTGATGCTGAAAACGTCGCCAGTTCTTTGATACTTATTTCCATGTCTTCTTGTACAAACTCATTGTTCTCCTACTCCCCTCCGCCTGGCAGCTCCTGTAGAACTTCAATTTCATTCTCCTGTCTTGAGTAGCGGGGGTTACTGAACACTGATGCAAACTGCCATTCCAGTATCACACACATACCCTCGTCCTCTCCGACAAGGCATCGAGCCCAGCATCGTACCCGGCATCGTTCTCTGCATCTTACCCAACATCGTACTAAACATCATACCCAGCATCTTGCCCAGCATCGTGCCGAGCATCGAGCCCAGCACCGCAACCAGCATCTTGCCCAACATCGTTCCCTGCATCATGTCCAGCATCGTACCCAGTACCGCAACCAGCAAAGAATCAAGAGGTTTTTTATGGCTTTGGATACATCAAATGCCCGGCTGCAGAGGTATTGATCCCCTTCATTAATTTTAGAGATTAAATACGTTTGAGATTATAATGTTCGTATTTTATTTTGAAAATTTCGATTAAATTGTTGTTCATCTTAGACCATGAAATTTCTGATATCCATATCTAAATCTGTCACGACAAGCATTTGAGATTTTATCTGTGCATTTCATTCATTTGTCCATTATATTCATGAACTCCCATTCTGTATGAGTTTCCTTTACATTCCATTATTTGGCCCGCGTTCCCCTAGCAATTGAAGACGCTTCATTAACCTCTAATGCATTCTATTCGAGGGCGACTCAAAAATCCTGGCCATTCGAAGAGGGAAGCGGCATTTTACGGGCACTTGTGAGCGCATTGCGGCCTGGGCTCCCATGCGATCTCGTTCAGCTTCCTGGCCGGCCAAGTTTGTTGCGTTAAAATAACACAAAAACCGCTGCAAACCACCAAGAAATTACACGGCGGTGCATCAGGCGGAAGGGAAAAGTACAGCAGCATTATCGAAGGTTCACTTCAACCATTCGAGTTCCGTTGGTTGATTGGTAAATTTTTCAGGGAGTGTGCTGTACTGCTGTTCATTAGCTATAACCTGAGGTGGGCTCAAAAGACCCAGGTTTTTAACGGCATTCTCTTATTAAAATAATGACGTTAAGTTCGGTTCGACTTCATTTCTTCTGGTACCATAATTAACGGTAGAACGATTTTCTTTGCTTGTGAACTTGCGATTTAAGCAGACTAATGTTATAAGTAACTGAAGCATTTAATGCAGTATATCACTTCTAACATCATGAAAGGCCAGGTTTTTTGACTAGTCTGTGGTGTCGTATTCAAGTAATGGCATAGAAGTTCTGCTTTGACTCTCTTTAGAACAAATGCTAATATTAATGAAGAATGCACTAAACCTTAACGAGAGATGTAATTACAAAGAATTATAAATCAGGGATATTCAAACGAAAAATTGATCTAACATGTTGCCATTCATAATATACATCTATGTTAGAATCTCAGTATTTAAATCTAAACACTAAAATAAATTCTAACAATTACACATTTTATAACAATGTAAAGACAGAAAGATTCATTCATATTAACACATCTGATCACACCGCAATTTTCCCCCTGACGGCAATGCGGTATATATTGCAGCACCAATTCATTAGGATTTAAATACTTGATAATTCTGTTAGCTGCTAGTATTGTCCTTTGGGATCATATCAAAGCTGGATTAACATGCCGCATCTAACTTGTCTAACGTCTTGCAATACCTTCAAATTGATCTAATTAAATCATTAGAGGCATACTGTGCCAAAATATTTTCCTTCTGTATCATGTGAAAAGATGAATGTCACTAACAGGAATTAATTTCAGAGAACAAGTTGAAGCATAAACATTCCTCCAAAACAGCGCGAGCAATGTCTTCTCTTCTTTCACGCTTGAAAAGAATTCATATTAAAAGGCACCCAATTATGAATATCAATTCTGGCAGTCACATCATCAATCGGTTATATATATATTTTTAATATTTTCTCTAATTAATTACAGTCGGAATTATGCTTCATTTCGACCGCTCTAAAATACTTCAGGATCCTGAAATTTTGCTGCATTGTTCAGCTTGTTTACAGGATGAGTTTTGTAACAGTCATATGAACATGTAATCAAAGTTTCGAGGAAGAATATCTATCAGAAAAATAACAATTAATTGTTGAGAATGAAAAAAACAAACACTGATGCCCAAGTAGCCCATGATGAGCGTTTTCTTCATTATTTATCTGCGCTTCAGTTCAAGCGAAACCCTTATTATGCACTGATGAAAATCACCCCCCTCCCAAAGTTGCAGAGAATGACGGCAATTAAGCAAATGGTTCAATATAATGATGCGTTTCCGCATGTATAGCCAAATTAGTATCTGAATGATAAGCAAACAGCAGAGCCCTTTGAAATTAGCGAGGCTCAAAATTTCAAAATTCAACTGGGAAATTTTCAACCTTTGCCAGTTGTCTGAACGCTAACACATGTTTTACTGAATCCGTTCGCATTATTTGGCCATGATCGAAAAGCGATAAAATCAATGAAGAAATCAGCAAGCTAGTTTTCATACATTACGCACGACAATAAAACACGCAATAAGGTGTGAAATTGCCGTTGCAGTATCATTTGGGAATAAATTATTATTAAATTATTCGTTTTATTGTTGAATTAGCGAGCAAAATTACCTCATGAAGAAAGACTCTCGTGAACTTCAAGCTTGATAAACTCGCTCGAGCCAATCCTCTTTCCAACCTTCGAGCCTCTAATAACTTTTCCCTTATTCATGGCAATCATACGATGCTTTCTTCCGCAGTGAAGAAATGATCAACACCGCACACAATTTCTTGACTAGGACCTCTGGGGTTCATGACCGTTCTAGATCCGCCAGGAACAAGGGTTTTTTCATCGTAGCCTAAGCCGTGGATATCCCGCAGGGCTCTGGTGCTCGCCAAACGAGTTCGATCAACACTCGCTGGCCTCCCGAGAGTCCTCGAACCGCTAACAAGGGTCTCGCTCGAACAAGTGTCACCCGAAGAAAATTCCGGTGTTTTGGCTCCGCTAAAGTTTACTTGGGGACGAAAGCCAAAATTAACAGACTTCTTCTGAAGATGCCGCTCATCCGAAGACGCCTGTGCGGATTTGGAGGCTTCCAGATCGCGTTGGTGATGAGGAACTAACGACCTTCTGGACAGTGATGAATCCACTGCGTCGTCTGTCCCGTATTGGCTCCATTCTGTACGAGGGAGTTCCTGGTTGCCGACACCCTGTCACGATAATTAAAGCTTCTGAGAGCCCATCGGGTTAATGGAGCTCGCCTGAATAAAATACTTCCATCACCCGGCCACAGGGACTTGTTTGTGCGTGGGTGAGTTTACGGGCTAGTTGACAGGAATATTTTTGATCATAATTTGACATGTCTGCGGTGTTGGTGCGTAGTATGTTTGTCTCTGTGTGTGGGCGTGTGTTTTTGAATTTGATAGCATGCTTTGTGAAAGGAAAATAAGGCCTGGGCAATGCAAAAGAGTACGTTGCACCTACAACGTTTCAAGTGAAAGGTTCTGTTACGTTGTTAGATTTGAACATTTTTATGTGAAGACAAATAAAATGAAGTTCTACGAATCAATCAACAAATAGAAACAAAACTGAAGCAGAGGTTTTCTGAAGCCGAAGTATATAATCAAACTAAGTACATTTCTTTATTTAAATCTGGAATTCAATAACTAAAAATCTTAAATTTCAAAAAATATAAGCTTGAGAATTATTTAATTTATAGGGGATGCAATTGCAAAACTTCAGTGACATGGTCTTGGAAAAAATTGCAGATCAAGTTTACTTCAATAAAATGATCATCAAGTTTGTGGTAATTGATAAATATTATACATAGATAAATCTACTTGCAACTTTTTTAATGAATTATCGCCACATGTATATATTAATTAAGTTTACCTATCAAATGCTTATCAACATGAATTTCTTTAGAGGATCGAATTATAAATAAAGATAAGTTTGTTCATTTATTACTGTATAAATTAATATTAGCAGACACATTTTGAAAGTTGAAACCTAATTTGACTCACAAACTGGCCCTGGTCGACGAAACCTCCGCTCTTTGCGTCAGGAGGTTCCATGGGCGACAGCAGCTTGTAAGTCTCCTCTGTGGTGGTCGAGCGAGTCGGAATTTGTTAATATGGATAAATGTGAAGAAAGTGGATAAAATATTAGCCTTTAAAATATTGATGCTTTCGACAATGAAGCCTGAGTAGTCAAAAATGACTTATAGAACTTGATGAATATATTTTTATGTAGATGTGTAAGCGAAGCTGGATCTAATACTGAAAAATAAGGTAATCTACCATGAATGTGAATTTTACCTGAAGCCTTCATATTTAATCCTAATGGGAAGTTACGATGCCACTGATGTCAGAATAATTGATGCTTGACAAAGACGTCTAGTTCTCTCTCCCACCTTTATGGCAGCCGCCATTTCATTGCAAAACATCCCATCACTGCATGGGATGTTTTATTGCTAAACATCCCATCGGTGCATGTGATGTTATATTGCTAAACATCACATCGCTGCATGTGATGTTATATTGCTAAACATCACATCGCTGCATGGAATGTTTTATTGTTAAACATCCCATCGCTGCATGGGATGTTATATTGCTAAACATCCCATCGCTGCATGGGATGTTATATTGCTAAACATCCCATCGGTGCATGGGATGTTTTATTGTTAAACATCCCATCGCTGCATGGGATGTTATATTGCAAAACATCCCATCGGTGCATGGGATGTTTTATTGCTAAACATCACATCACTGCATGGGATGTTTTATTGCTAAACATCCCATCGCTGCATGGGATGTTTTATTGCTAAACATCACATCACTGCATGGGATGTTTTATTGCTAAACATCACATCGCTGCATGGGATGTTTTATTGCTAAACATCACATCACTGCATGGGATGTTTTATTGCTAAACATCACATCGCTGCATGGGATGTTTTATTGCTAAACATCCCATCGCTGCATGTGATGTTTTATTACTAAACATCCCATCGCTGCATGTGATGTTTTATTACTAAACATCCTATCACTGCAACAAAAGAAGTAGTCTCACCTATGTTGGACAGCACGTCTGGTCCCCTCTTAGCCCTCTGAGGGCTGGCGCAGTACAGGCTCGTCTTGACTTCAAACAACTTGGCTCGAATGTCCCCTGGTGGCACGCTGCTTGCACCCGATTCTATTTTGCTGACTTCTTCTTCACTGTGGTGATTCTGTGGTGATTCACATGACTCTCTGGAGCGTCTGTTGCACCACCATAATCTTATTACAACAGCTGTAATAAGCACCATCACCACCGTCACCACCGAAACCATCACCACCACCACCACCACAGAGCTCACTGCCGTTCGATCTTCGTTCACTGCGTTGCAAGAAGCAAGATGGAAAATTCATTAGGAAATTATAGTAACGGAGATCATGTACATTATTATTGATCCGATGCTTCCTGAAATATTGACGACTTAAATGACAGTAACAACTTATTCAATTTATATAAATTTATGAACTGCAATTTGTTGAGAAGATTGCAGATAATCTTGAAAATTATAATGGCTTGCGATTATGTAGTTGTGATGCCATGTTACCCTAACATTATCAACTTGAATAAATTTAATTTTTATGTTAAACAGGATTGTTTTATTTATTATAATAAAGCTTGACTATTATTTATAAATCCGGAAATTATTAACATCATTATATCAATAACAACGGTAATTTTAGCAACAATTACAAAAATATTATTTTATTCTGAATATATGATCTGCTAAAGTTATGATCTCTAAGAATATGTCCTGCTCTACTCTGAGAGCGGATACTGCAATATTTATTCAAACAAATTCAGCTGCCAAGCTGAGATCATTTGCCATGCCAATCTGGCCTAATGAGCATGGCATTCATACATGTCCTGATGGTAATTGAAGTCTACATAAGCACTTTTAGAACTTTAACATAGCTTCTCGCAATGAAAACAGTATAAAATGTGATTTTCCTTGCTACATTGTAATATTTGTGAACGAATGTTAGTTCTCGCCACTAGCTATAGAGAAGTTCCTATCACCATCATTGGCAGAGCCACAATCATTGATAGAATGTTTACTATCAGTGTCGTGTCGAGTGCCCGAGTTGAGGCAGAGGTCTTGTGTTCGTAATTAGCCGATGGTTTTTATTTCGCTGCACGTCGATATTGACAACTAAGGCTCGACTTTAGGCGTTCACTGAATGGCCTTGCATTGGGCGACCTTGATTTACAGTTTTCTTGTTCCACTGCCGAGCCTCCGTTAATTACATCGACTGTAGGCCTCGCTAAAAAAGCGCCGGTAGTTGGTAGGCTGTTTGTAATTAGCCGACGATACGCCGGCTGTAATATAAATCAAGCCAGGCAGATGGAAAAAAGTTGTTTTAGCTATTGAAAGCTCCAACAATAGAGGCGTGATTTTGAATACAAATTTAGCAAGTCTTTTGTTTGTGTTGAATACGATGACAAATATAGCCTGTGACGTGGCTGAGTTTGACATCCTACAAGTATAAAAAGAAGCTCCATAATTACGCTCTGCGGCACCGAACAACGAGGAGGTCGGGGGGAATAGAAGCGATTCTTGTCCGTGAGCTTATCGCTGAAAGAGCTCTAGCTCTCAATGTTCCTGGTGCAGTGAAGAGCTTGTCTTATTAACTAATTATAACACTTAGCGGAGCCCCCCTATAACACAGAGCAGAATACCCCCTTCCCCCTGAAAATTTGAGCTATTTTCTCTTTACATGGTATGTTAATCGATGCGCTAACTGAATATTCAGTGTAGGTTCAATTTGCTTGAGTAAGATTCACATTCTAATTGTGAATCACTGTTGGAAAAATAACCTATGTTATCAAATTAAATAATTTAAGCAACTGTGTTTGGGAACAATTTAGAGTAACAATCAACTTACATATCTCTTCATTAGTTAGTTATTAGTTTCGATTAAGTGTGTTTTTTAGCCTAAACGCAAACTTAATAAGAAAGTCACGAAACAAATGTTTGCATTGTGAGATTTGAAGTGAACAAACACGAATTTTCATCAAATATGCGTAGTTCAATTATTTTTTAAATCTCAATAGGGGGAAAAACTTTTATACTTTCCATTCAATTATTATCAGTCAAGTTTGATTCAGTGAATAAATGCGAAAGCTGTGATGTCATGGCGTGTTAAATTATCACCGGAAGCACTTAGTTCGCTCATGAAAGTAAGTGAAATGCCTGGTACAATTACCGTGGATTATAATAAAATAATGTAATAAAGGAGCTGTATATAATAATAATAATAATGAAAGTATTTGGATTACAATTTCATTCCGTTGATTTAAAGGTAGAAAAAATGTTAGTTGATCGTACAATTATTTGAAAATAATTTAAAATTAGCTCTGTTTGCATCTGTTTGCATAGCGTTTGGTGTATAGGTGATTGAAATTCCTGTTGGTGTATTTCAATATGTAATTCGTGATGACACACAAAAGCACCTTAATACCTCACTTTCATGTACACCAGCGCCGAGATGTGCCAACAAACTCCATTGTGTTGTCTCGAATTTCCAGAAATCAAACGACGCACAAGCAAAGCAGCTCATGTGTAGCTGTGTACCCTGACTACCATTAAGCTGCATGCAGATAGCCTCAGCCAAATATATGAGAACTCCAACGGCTTTCTAAAGCCAAGCAAATGCTTCCGAAGATGGCATCCGAGAAACGATTTGTGACGAACGGAAACGTGATTCAACATTATCATGGACCGTGCGCAGGGTTCAATAGTGGAGTGAGACCTTGCAGGTGGGTTTTCGATGGAGATTGTTGATGTGGCATGTTAGCCTAGGCCTAAATAAATTATCTGAGGCCTCTCAATTGTAGCGGCACGATTCAACGTATATTGATGATTTATTGTACTAGGTTTTCGGCGACTTTCGGTTCGTAGAAATCTACCCAAGGATTGATATGAAGGGCAACGTTAGGGTAACATATAAACTTAGCATTACAAAATGTTGCTAGAAAAATGAATTGCACGAATCCGATCTTTTTTTAGCTTGAAATAGCGTTCCGTGTATCTTCAAATCCAATTTCACAAATCATAAAAAGATTTTAAACGTTATAAAGAATTATTTGCTGCAAATATCTAATTTCATGCATGAGTTTTATTTGTAATTACGACAACAATAAATCCTAAAGTCTCATGGTTTCAAATCCCTGAGCCTCCCCAGTCAGTAGATCCCACCAGACATCATACACACCTCGGTCTCGCCGGGCCGTTCTTGACGTAAATGCGGACACGTGGACGGGCTGGGACGTGGCCGGCCCGTGTGCGACGTACACTTTGATCTCGTAACGGGTTGCGGGGTCGAGACGGCTGACGTTAAATGACGGCTGCTGGGACGTCACATTCGCAAACAGAGAATTGTTTGCGAGGTAAACCTGTGTGACAAGCACGCCGAAAGTTTAAAATTAGTGTGGTATTATGTGTGCATTGTTGATTTCAGGAACACCGGGAAATGATTTGTAAACCCCAGGAGCGTTGCTTTATTGTACAACAAACTTCATTCTATCACGAATTAATGAGCGCCAACAAATATTATTTTGTGTTCAAAAATATTATTTGAGCACCAAAATATTGAAAATTTTTGTGTCTATCTGAAATAAGGTCGAAGGAAAATGATAAGAAGATAAATTTGTATGGTGCGTACATAGCCATGCGCTAAATACATTGTACGTTCATAGCCTTACACCAACATGGAATGATGTAGAAAGATCGAATTACTGCAACTTCTGACTCTAATTCGGTTGAAGCTAAATTTTGTCGAGAGGCGGTTAGAAAAATCTCCTACCTAGAATTCTACTCTTTGATGTCACTAAATTGCGATCTTTAGAAAGATAGAGAAACTTTGTGGACAGAACCTTAACATCTGCGCTCGACGGACGGAACTTGGTCCTGATAAGAACAACTTACCGGGGCCACTTCTTGCCGCTGTTTCTTGCCTGACTTTGTCTTTGTGCTGATGGCAGAGACGAAAATATCGGATCGGCATTTACTACAAATTCTAACTTCTGTTAGAAGCCTAACTTTCGTTAATAGGCACGATATTATTGTCGGATAAATGACGAAACATTTAAAGAAATCATCGCATAAGGGAAGAGTTTAGAGATATAATTGAAATGACAGGAAATACACTAAGAAAACATTGTGTGCTTAGATATATAAAAACATTTCTATGTAAACTCGTGTAAAGAACAGTTATATGACTTTTATTTGAACTCGTTTTCGGATATTAGGTTTATTTAATGCATTATTTGGAATCACTTTTTCGCCCAATGATTCTATTAGTGTAGCAACGACAAATATGCCACTGTCCGTTATCATTATTCGATAGCCTTAGTCTCATCATGTTATTCATGAGTATCATAATGAGCATAGTTATAGTATCATTATCATCATGCTATTCATGAGTATCCTAATCATCATACTGATAGTTATCATTATCATCTTGCTATTCATAAGAATCATAATAATCATATAGTAATCATTATCATAATGATAGTAATCATAAGCATCATAATGATAGTAATCATAATCATCATAATGATAGTGATCATAATCATCATAATGATAGTGATCATAATGATACCTCAGCACGGTAGAGGGCGTCGGGAGTGCGCGCGGTCTCGCACGTCAGACTCAGCGACGACGCGGTGATGTTTGCCAGGCGGCAGGACGACAGCGGGGCCGGCATCTCTGTGAGACATCAACGGAACTGCTTAGTGATGTGGTCAGTTTGTTCTTAACGCTATGGTTATAAATATTGAAATAAATTAAATTTATAGTCATTTCCATGAAGTATAAGTTTTAGTCATTTAATCATATTAAAGGAAAACAAGTAATGGAAATGTTGTGCTGATAAAGTTCTCATCCATTTGTGAGTCCGTTATACTGTATGTTTAAACTGACTGGGAAGGAAAGAATTTCTACCATGACAGTTTAGGTAGAACGATTTTTATGAATTGCAGTAATTGAATTGAAGATTTACAGACGAATCAACCAGTTTCGTAGAATTGAAAATTGAATTGATATGTAAACATGCCAGTTTACGAACGCTAATTTTTTCACAAACTAAATTGGAGGGATTTAACGTTTAACGCCCTCTGTTGGTGATCGTGAAAACCCGCTTTTGCAGACGATCGATCGTCTAATGGTCAGATATAATCCATTTCTTGAGTGTAGTTAAATATAGCCAAACATTTTTTCTGTGGCTCTGTAAAGGAAAATACTGGTGAGGCAAAGATAAAGTTGAAGCTCGAGCTGAAGTCCGATATCCCTTTCCGCTGCGGTCGGATTGTCACAGCACTTGTTTGAAGTTTTCATTACTTAAGGCAGGACGAGTGCTGGCAAAAACGAAGGCTGCGCGTGATGTTGAGGTTATGACCTGTTGGTCAGTTTCATGGCTGAGCCAGCATAAAGTGATTGGCCGAAACCGAGCAATGAAATGCAATATTTATTTACCGTTTGCCCAAGTTGTATGATTGACAAGCCGGTAGATGCTAGCGGAGCTGTGTAGTATGATGCAAGATCCCGGCAATCAAATGAATTTTTAGCACTGAGAAAAGAGATTCCGATCTTTTTAATTACATTTTATTGTGTAATTTAGTTGATGCTAGTTAGCTTGTGCAGTGTGATAGGAGATATACAGTACCTTTATTGATAGCTTAGTTGGGTTAAATGATGAAGGTAAATGCTAACATAAATGAAAAAAAACAAAGGTTTCCATTCTTGAATGCAACCAATAAATTACCTTACAAGGATGCTCTTCAATGCAGAATAATAACATTGGGTAAAATTTATGAACTTAGCTGTCTCGTTGAAATCAATTAAACGTATGAAAGACCTCGTATAAAATATTCAAGTTTTATAAATTTATGCGACGTATTCTCCCTATTCTATTTTCTGCTCTAAATTAACATTTATGTTATACGCGCTCGCGGAACAGTGATACTGACTGGCGACAGTGATGGAGAAGTTGCAGGGCTGTCGCTGAGCGCCCATCTCGTTGACGCCCAGACAGGAGAGGTGCCTGTCGTCCGAAGCTTTAGACGGGTAGACGGTAAAGTGCGCCGTCACGCGGTCCTGCAGCAGCGTGTCCGACCTAATACAAACGTAGAAAAACTTGCTAAATTTGGTTGAACTTTTATAATTTATTTTATTGAAACTAATGAACGCTTTCATGAAAAAACGGTTTTCTAAGCATTATGTAGGCAATTTGCTTGCTTCTACAGTTTTACGAGTAACAGCGGAGCTTTGGAATAAGGGCTTGAGGTCTGTAGCTTTCTTTATGGAAACGGGAGAAAAGCACACGATACATTAGTGTGCTTAGCAGCAGCAGGTGCTACCCTAACAAAGTTCGGGGACTGTCTAGGCTTCGGCCGAATAGTCACTACCCTCGGCGAAAAGTTATTGTGGGTCTGCTTGGCGACCCGATCGAAATCAGTTTCTGGTCAGAATCTCCTTTCCGACTTTATAGTCGCTCGAGATTATGACAAAGGTTGGCCAAGCCGAGTCATACCGAGATAGCAAACTGCCCTTCGAACCCTGAGCCGAAGAGGACATAGAGAACCTGATTAATGTGTTCCCCGAGTCATAGGCGGCCCAAATTCAGGGTCGCTCATGCCTCTAAATCTTGTTAGCATGCCGACTCGAGGCACCGCAGTGTTGATAACATAATTTTTCATCACTACACGACGTCGTACGCTTGTTTCGCTCACCTCTCAGCGTCGGTGATCTGCGTTGTGGTGATCTCGCCGCTGCCGTTCCAGCGCCACTCGATGTTGTGCACGGGCGGGTACGACGCAATCGAACAGGTCACGTTGATTGGTTCGTCGTAGATGAAGTACGTGATAGGCGCACTCGCACACACCGGCTTATCTGTACAGTGATGACGAGTGCTTCATTTTATAATTAATTGTTAGGAAGTATTTCATTTTTCCCCTACACTGTCCACTCGATAAAAAGTAACAATATTTTTCATTTTAATAGCAGCGTCTATTTAAAAAAATAATTGGAGGTGAATTTAATTAATATTTACGAATAAAATCTTTAAATTTTATATGATTGTCCTATTTTTCTTTAATTAGAGCGGCCACGCAAATAAATTACTCAAATTGATGCCACTAACATTTTATTTTGAGTAGAACTGGCTGGCTGGTAGTACTGGCGACGCTGTTGGTAGCGACACAATAGTACCGTCCTGTTCGGCTCCTTGCCGCCGACTGAAGAACAAGAGAGTCAACCGCGATGATGACTCCAGCGCTCAAGTTCTGCTGCTGCCGCTGTGACTGTCCAGACCAAACAAATAATTTACTTTATTAATACATGGATATATAATCAAAATTCAGATAAACCTAGCCAGCCAATTGATATCACTGCAAAATTCATCATAGATCTCTATCTGAATAGCTATCAAATTGCTGAAAGTGTCCACAATTACAACAATTATTTCTATGTATTTATTAAAAACTTAAAACAATTGCTTCAAGAGCAAAAGCATTTCTTCTATGTTTTTGTACAAGTTTCAATCGAAGATCAAAATTTTCTTCCATACATCATTGTATATTTTCATAGTGAAGTCTAATCAAGACTGCATTCCCCACATGAGCATCCCGCTTATCTGACTTCGCGCATATGACCTCGTAGATATGACCTCGTACATCTGACCTCGTAGATATGACCTCGTACATCTGACCTCGTACATCTGACCTCGTACATCTGACCTCGTACATCTGACCTCGAACATCTGACCTCGTACATCTGACCTCGAACATCTGACCTCGTACATCTCACCTCGTACATCTGACCTCGAACATCTGACCTCGTACATCTGACCTCGAACATCTGACCTCGTACATCTGACCTCGTACATCTGACCTCGTACATCTCACCTCGTACATCTGACCTCGTACATACGAACATCTGACCTCGTACATCTGACCTCGTACATCTGACCTCGTACATCTGACCTCGTACATCTGACCTCGTACATCTGACCTCGTACATCTGACCTCGTACTTCTCACCTCATGGTACCACTCAATGGACGTGACGGGCGGGTTGGCGTCCACTTCACACGTAAAGTAAACGTCGTCGCCCTCCTTCAGCAGCCGCGGCGAGAACGACTTCCCGAATGACGCCACAGCTTTCGGGGGGACTGAGGAATAACTCGAATATTACACAAAGCCAATGGATTGCTTTGTATAATTACACAATGAATTAAATAGTTACTTTTAGATTTTCAAAGCCCGCAGGATATATTATCGCTACAGTCATCGGAAATGATTCAGATCGCGGTAATGGCAACGCATCAGCTGATCAGTCTCGATATATAACAAACCCGAGAAAAGCAATGAGTAGGAATAGCGAATTCCCTGAGAATTACAAAGTAAAGCTTCTTAATGAATCAGAAGATAGCAGCTAAAATTGCAATGAGCTCAAATCCTAATCTAAGACACGTTGCAGTCCTGCTGACTAATGTCCCAAGGCGTGACATGATGCGCGTCGAATGCTATCAGCCATGGAGCTTCTTTCATTTTAAGGGACATTTCATTCAAGACGGGACATCAGCCATGGAGCTTCTTTCATTTTAAGGGACATTTCATTCAAGTCGGGACATCAGCCATGGAGCTTCTTTCATTTTAAGGGACATTTCATTTCAGCCATGGAGCTTCTTTCATTTTAAGGGACATTTCATTCAAGTCGGGACATCAGCATGGAGCTTCTTTCATTTTAAGGGACATTTCATTCAAGACGGGACATCAGCCATGGAGCTTCTTTCATTTTACAGCATCATTGGTCTACAAAAAATCTCCCTTGCACCATCCAACGTCCTTCTTGATGAGCAAAAAATACTTTTTTCCTCTTGTACGACTCAGTTTTTTCAGAATCATCATCGATATACAACTCCTTTCACTACAATTATTGAACTTTCAACCATGGTCTTCAAATTTGTTTACAATTCATTCTAAAGTCTATACTAATAAAGCATGTGAATGTAGAGGAAGAAGGAAAGTCTGTTGGATTTATACTGCACGACAAATTTCATAAAACTGTGATTTACAGGGTATTTACAGGGTTGATGAGAACTATATTTTCTGACATTTACTTCGTCAAATTACACCAGTAGCAAAGAATTCAAGGTAGATCTTTCATTTCATATCAGATCTTGCAACTTACATGTTCCGTAACTCTTTGTGACAAGATCCAAGCAAAATATATCGGCCATCAGCCAAAAAGAAGAACACAAACAGCGAGCCAGCCAGGCTTAGCCTGAGCCAAATCTCTCCATGTTCTGGTATCCGTTCAACCAGCACGCGTCCAACTGACAACGTTCACGTGTCACAACTCACAGTACTTTGCGTTACAAAAAATGTACAGACTGTTTCTGCATGAGTAGTTGTCTTTGTCTATGTACTTTGTTTGATCCAAGTGATCGCGTTTGTAAATAGAAGTCGAGCGGCCAAGCAGGCACGCTAGTGCTGGATGGTTCCGGCCAATTGCAGTTATTCGGTGCGATTGAAAGCAAACAGCCTCATATTTGGAGCGAACAGATTGCCTGCTTCGAAGGAGACCCATGAAGCAGATGATGTTGATCGAGAATCCTATCGAGGGTCATTTCAGAGCTCCAGAAATCATTTGCGTCTAATCGTGGTGATTTGTGTCGAAGGAATGAATCTCTGCTGCATCAGTCGCATCTGTCTTGAGACAAATCTTGCGAATATCTCAATCTGATAATTCGTGGTAAAAATTCTAGTAATATTATATTGGATTATGATGAATAATCAGAATGAATTAATGGCGGTAGAAATGTTCAATAATTAATTCGATTTTAACGTTGTAAAACAGTACTAAATGTAACAAATAATGCCTAATGAGCCTTGGAATTCAGATTATGCATCTTGAACGTTTCAAAATAGGGAAATGAAGTTCGATGTAAGTATATCAACGACAAGAAAATATCAATAATATTCTAAAAAGTAACAGAGTAAAGTATCACAAAATATCTGCAGCCATTAGCTACTAACACGTACTAAGTTAGCGTGCATGTGAATAATTTCTCAATCCCTGCTGGAGGTGGAAGCTGGTGGAGTTATAGAGAGAGCGGTTATAACTCACAGTGGACTTTGATGCTGGTGGAGTTATAGAGAAAGCGGTTATAACTCACAGTGGACTTTGATGCTGGTGGAGTTATAGAGAGAGCGACCATAACTCACAGTGGACTTTGATGCTGGTGGAGTTGTAAAGAGAGCGGCCAGACACGGCAGGGTTACTAGCCTCGCACGTCACCTCGGCCCCATCGTCTTCCCTCGTCACGTTGAGCTCGAGGGTCGAGCTTGTCACCAGACCGTACTGAGTGCTCTGCGTGCGTGCGTTAGCAGGATCGCATCAATATGAGATTGTAGGAGTGGAATGAAGTGAAAGGATGGCAGGATAATTAAGTGATAGGATAGTGGAATTAAGTGAAAGGATAGTAGGATAATTAAGTGATAGGATAGTGGAATTAAGTGGAAGGATAGTAGGATAATTAAGTATTTGTGGAAGGCTATATCAGTGAGTTATAGAATAGCTCCTCATATTTCTAATCTGTACTAACGAGTACCAATAATAGACGGTGAAAGTGGCGCGCAGAGGAAAAAAAATTTAACCAAAGTACTAGTTTTAATTTCGAAACGCGATGTTTCACGTGAAACATTACTATCATAAATAATATTACAGATATCACAATATTAATACGATATTGATTATTTCTTTAAAATTCGCGCATATATCACAACAAAATTAAATGAATTAATGACATGAGAGAAAAATAATGAGTACCTGCGTAGAGGGGGCGAGATGCTGGCCCTGCAACCCCCACGTGATGAGGGCCGGGGGCGACGAGCCCGACGTGGTGCACGTGAACCGCACGAGCTCCCCTTCCCGTGACGATGATGGACCCCACACGCGCACGCTACGTGGCAGCACTGACGTGCCCACGTGCAGAGATAAGTTATTATCGTGTCCACGTGCATAGATAAGTTGTTATCGTGTCAACGTGCCAGGTGTAGAGATAAGTTGTTATCGTGCCCACGTGCCAGGTGCAGAGATAAGTTATTATCGTATCCACGTGCATAGATAAGTTGTTATCGTGTCAACGTGCCAGGTGTAGAGATAAGTTGTTATCGTGCCCACGTACCAGGTGCAGAGATAAGTTATTATCGTGCCCACGTGCGTTGATAAGTTGTTATCGTGTCCACGTGCCAGGTGTAGAGATAAGTTGTTATCGTGTCCACGTGCCAGGTGTAGAGATAAGTTGTTATCGTGCCAACGTGCCATGTGTAGAGATAAGTTATTATCGTGTCCACGTGCCAGGTGCAGATATAAGTTATTATCGTGCCAACGTGCCAGGTGCAGAGATAAGTTATTATCGTGTCCACGTGCCAGGTGCAGATATAAGTTATTATCGTGCCAACGTGCCAGGTGCAGAGATAAGTTATTATCGTGCCCACGTGCCAGGTGCAGAGATAAGTTATTATCGTGCCCACGTGCATTGATAAGTTATTATGCATTGATAAGTTAACAAGCATCCCTGCGTGGCTTCGGAGGAAAACTCCCAAAGATTTGGCAGCTCCGTTAAAAATTATTTTTTTCAGTATGTTTAGTTCTTTTCATGATAATTCTCAACAAAGTAATTTCAAGTCAATCAACATTCAGTCAATAATTCTCATTTAACTAAATGTTCCACTTCGCTTCGAAGTTTAAAGAATAATAATAAATTTCTTCGCGATTAAGCACAATTTTAAAAATTTGAGATTTAACAAACGCACAAATTGCAGTTAACTAAAAAATGTTGCCTTAACGGTTTTGCGAAATGCAAAATATCGCCAAAAAATAATTAGGTGCAGACAACACCGCCGCGCAATTTGTATTGTCGGTAGCTTCAGGCCCTTTGTATTAGTCACGCCAGACTTCAAACGCGCAAACAGGCTGAATAAAATATAAAATATTAGTTTAATTCCTATAGTGCTGATGTGGGATGGCAAGGACATTTTAATATTTTTTGACATAGCATGTTTATTGCTTAGGGTATCCATGAAATTATTTGAAATGTAGATCACCAGTATTTAAAAAAAGTTTCTATTGAAAAATTTATACGTATTTACCTTTCCAGAGCACCAGTTTTTTTAAAAAGGAACCTCTTGAGAAGTTAATACTTATTTACCTTATGATCATGTATATCATGTATTCTTCCATAGATAAAAGATTAAATTAACAGGATACTCACGCAGCAGTTTGATGGTTATCGTCTTAGCTACCGGGGGCAGTTGAGGGCTATTAGAAGCTTCGCAGGTTAGACTGGCGTTCTCCCAAAGTCTCGTGAGCTGCGGCACCGACAGCCTGCTCAGCACAACGCCCTTCTGCAGCGCCTCCGTCGGTGCTGGCAAGACTTCGCCGTCTCGTGTCCATGTCAAGCGTGGAGCAGGCGAGCCTGATATCACGCAATATTCATTACGTTTTTAGTTAGAATTAATTCAAGTTCATGTTCAGATATATGAATAATTTATAGAATAAATTAAATATGTTTATCATTTAATTTTATTGAAGCGCTTAACGTAAATTTAAATGATTTATTTGGAGATAAACTAAACATATAATTCATCAACAGATAATTTTTGACTACAATTAATTTAAGTTCATGTTTAGATATATGAAAACTTTGTATAATAAATTATATATATTTATCATTTAATTTTATTGAAATGCTTAACGCAAATTTAAATGCTTTATTTGGAGATATATTATTACTAAACATATAATCATCTACAGATAATTGGCATGGAACTTCACGTGCCTTTATACATAGTTCTTTAAATGTATATATTATTGTAGCACTTAATCCGTTGACTTATCGCAGATAGAAGCCGTGAAACATCCATACCTATCTGCCGCATTAAGACATATTTTGCATTTCAATATGAGCATCACTCAAAAACTCGAGAAAATCTCTTGATTTCTTGTTTCTAATGAAAATATATAAATAAATGACGCCTTGCAATTAACCTGTTTCCGAAACTTTACAACTTCAACTGCAAGATATTCAAGCTAAAACAATTCAAGCTACAACTAAAAAATATATTAGCTACAAACACAAAGTAAATAAACTCTTCTACTTATTTACGTCTGATTTTATTTGCTCTTAGCTTGTTTAAAGTAATGAACTCTAAATGAGTCGTACATTAACAGCTAAAAGTCAGCCAACATTACAGCTCTACTCTCAATTTTTGTAATGCGACAAAACTATTTTTGATAAGCTAACCCCCAAAAAATATATTACTTATATAAAATAAAGCTCATAAAGTGAATGAAGAAAAACTCCTAATCTGCGAAAAATGAGAATTCTCATCATTAATTTCATCACAATTCAAATGGAAAACTTTATTTCCACCACTGCAAAATTAAATTTAATATGTTGAATGCGTACATAGATTATGATCTCAGATAACAAAAATTTATTATTTTGTTAGATATTTGCTAAAACACAATCCTAAGTCGCAGGATTATCTCGGAATAAATGTTATTGCTTTCTTGAAGTATTATATTCCAATCAATCCTTACATCCTTGATCTCATATGCCCGAGACCATTCGTTGGCAAGTTTTAACTCGCGGGAGAAGTTTGTGTGTGTAAGATAGCAGCTGAATTAATTGAGAAAATGTGTTAGCTTTTGGATAAAATATCAAATGCTTTCATCTTGATCCGTTTCCTTTCCTAATATAGTAGCTATCGAAATAACAAGGAAATAATATCAGCTACATGTTTATTCACCAACAATCGAATACTGAAAGGAAATTGATGTCAAACAGTTTTCTTAATTACCCTTTTATATATTTATCTCTAATTTTATATAGATGCAATATCATTAAAAAATTCAGAACAAAAATAAAACATTAATATTCAAGAAATGACATTGATAAACAGAAATGAAACATTAATATTCAAGAAGTGAAACTGATAAACAGAAATGAAACATTAATATTCAAGAAGTGACACAGATAAACAGAAATGAAACATTAATATTCAAGAAGTGACACAGATAAACAGAAATGAAACATTAATATTCAAGAAGTGACACAGATAAACAGAAATGAAACATTAACATTCAAGAAGTGACACCGATAAACAGAAATGAAACATTAATATTTAAGAAGTGACACTGATTAACAGAAATGAAACATTATTATTCAAGAAGTGACACAGATAAACAGAAATGAAACATTAGTATTCAAGAAGTGACACTGATAAACAGAAATGAAACATTAATATTCAAGAAGTGACACTGATTAACAGAAATGAAACATTAATATTCAAGAAGTGTTACTGATAAACAGAAATTAAACATTAATATTCAAGAAGTGACACTGATAAACAGAAATTAAACATTAATATTCAAGAAGTGACACTGATAAACGTCACTTCTGACACTGATAAACGCCAAGTATTACAGATATTTAATATGATATCAAGACAGCAGTAACAAGACATGAGCACCTCGTCTAGCGATGCAGGAGAGTTCGATGGCCGAGCCCTCGACGTAGGCGCGAGTGTCGGCGACCAGGTCGCCCTCGCCGTCCTGGATGGTCACGCTCTGCACCGGCTCTGTGAGGGTAGAGAGGGGAAGTTATGAGCGAAGTAGGGCTCTGTATTACCGGCTCTGTGAGAGAAGTATTACCGGCTCTGTAAGATTAGGGAGGGGAAGTTACTGGCGAAGTAGGGCTCTGTATTACCGGCTCTGTGAGAGAAGTATTACCGGCTCTGTGAGAGTAGGGAGGGGAAGTTATTGGCGAAGTAGGGCTCTGTATTACCGGCTCTGTGAGAGAAGTATTGCCGGCTCTGTGAGGGTAGAGAGGGGAAGTTATTGGCGAAGTAGGGCTCTGTATTTCCGGCTCTGTGAGAGAAGTATAACCGGCTCTGTGAGGGTAGAGAGGGGAAGTTATTGGCGAAGTAGGGCTCTGTATTACCAGCTCTGTGATAGTAAGGAGGGGATGTTATTAGCGAAGAGGTCCTAATAAGTGGTTTTTGTGGACCAATTGAATCCTTCTTGAGTGAGACCGAGAAGTATATATCTAGACCGAACGCCGGTGTTGAACAATGATGTGCATTAGCGTGGATTAATGCAAACTAGTGCAGAACTCCCGAAATGAACATTTGAAGTGAATCAATCCAAATGAACATCAGTATTGATTTAAGTCATTGATTCAAGATGCGTTGAGAGATTTGGTATAACATCTACTGAAGGATGTTAATGTGTGTCGCAACGGCTGCGATTTTAACCGAACGGGACTGTGAATACTTCGCACGTTAGTAATGAAAAATCGGACATTGCGCTCATCGGTAGATCAGGGGCCTATTTTGAGTGGATATTCATCATGATGGCGATGTATTCATGAAAGGCCTTCATAAGATACATTTTAACAAGGTCATAGGTCATAGCTAAGTCTCTGGTGGAGAAGTTGTCGCGATATGTCGCCGGGAGCGGAAGGTCTTCGTGAGATATCGAGATGCCTGAGGAGAGGTAATCTTTTAAGGACTTCGCGGGAGGTCTTCAGGAGGGAATTTTGTTGAGAGTTCGAGAGGTCTATTGTGAGGTGTTTATGGGAGTCTGAGAGGCCTTGAGTCCAAGAGATATTCGGGGCAATGATACACGATGAACACCAGTAATCGACACGAACAAAAATAGATTAGTGAAATTGAGGTAAAATCAATGTTGAAATCATTTCCCACCTTGAAATCGTTAGAATAGGATCCGTTTCCAATTTTAATAATAAAACGGATTTCATGATGAACAAAAGGCTAATTATTTCACAGAAAATTATAAGATTTAACGCAAAACTTATGAGGTGTTCCTTCAAAGTGGGCGTTTGATGGCCCCACCAGTGACAGTGAGGCTGACCCACCAGTGACGGTGAGGCTGACCCACCAGTGACGGTGAGGTTGACGAGGGTTGTGAGGGTCGGGGAGCGGAAGAAGTCAACCCTGCACTCGTAGGCGCCCGCGTCGCTGAGGGTCGCCCGCTGCAGCGTCAGCGTCGCCGTATGAGCGTCAACCGAGACACGCGCGTTGGCAACACTCATCGCGGTGTTGCCAGATGATGTCTCTATTTTACTGCGACCATCGAGGCTGCAGGATTTGAACAAAATTGACCTGAATTAACTAATCGTAAGATCGCTTGATATTTTGAATAAGTGGTGGTTGTTGAATAGTTTGAATAAAATGAATTAATGAATTGATGAATTGTGCAAGTGAATGGTTAGCAGGAATAGGGTGGCTCATTGGTGTGAAAGGCAGATCATAGAAGTTAATGTTCATGTAAGTGAATTAAGGCAGGAATTTTGTGAATATGTTGTATAAATGAAACAAGCGAGTGAATGTTTGTTTAGGAAGTATAAATAGTTAAGACTTGAGGAATAAAGTACAAAATTGAGGAAGGGATCAAGACATAATGTACTAATGTAAGAAAATCAACATAAACAATAGCAGAAAACGTAAATAATTCAAGAAAAAATCAATGAAAATGGAAAACAGAATAACTAAAAGTTGAAACAAAACGCTGCAGGCAAACCTAAATCTGAACTGCTGTTCAATACCGACCGAGTACAGATAAAGTAAAGTTCGTAAGTAAGAAAAATGATAAAGTAAAGTTTGTAAGTAGGAAAAAATGATAAAGTAAAGTTTGTAAGTAAGAAAAATGCTAAAGTAAAGTTTGTAAGTAAGAAAAATGATAGAGTAAAGTATGTAAATAAGAAAAATGACTGGAAATTGGCGAAGAACTTGAATCGAAGCACAATTTAATAAAATAATAAATATTGTAAGAGGTAAGTTGTACCTGACGACGGGGGTGCGGGTGCCAGCTTTGTACCACAGGATGAGCTTGGCAGCGTCGCCGTGGCTCACGTGGCACGGCAGCTGCACGGTCTGCCCTGCGACGGCCGCCACGGTCGAGGCTGTGGGAGGACAAGTCTGCTTAGTGGCCGTGAGTGGCCTTAGTGGCCTGCTTAGTGACCTTAGTGGCCTGCTTGGTGGCCTTGAGTGGCCTTAGTGGCCTGCTTAGTGGCCGTGAATGGCCTTAGTGGCCTGCTTAGTGGCTTTAGTGGCCTGCTTATTGGCCGTGACGGTCAACAGAGAGTGGCTTCTGCTCGTGCTATTGCTCTGGATATGCCGCAGCAATTCTTGTTTAAAGAAAAATTATTTGAAAATGCCCAGCGCAAAACAGAGGCTGATGCTATCGAAAGCAAGTGGATGTCGAGTGTATCTGTTTGAACGAACGCGACGTAGTGATGAAGCAAAAAATTTGTTATGATCTTATTCCTCTGATGGACAACTTTATCCTTGTTTTTGCGTCCATCGGCTTGAATCTTGAATCTACGGCAAGTACTGCGACGTAATCTCGACAGCGTAGAGCACTTACGCAGATACGGGAGACAGCGCGAGTTACGCGCACCCAGGCGCAATTGCCGGATCTGGAGAATCCAGCAATTGCCGGATCCGGAGAACCCTGGCGACCATCAATCGAACTGCTCAGGCACCGGCACTCGGATAACGAGTAGGCTGTTTTGCAGGCCTACAAGCTTTGGAAAGACTTCAACCATTTGTGCGAACTGAGCTGGGAAATGACCATCATTCATTGCTGTACTCTAAATCAACATTTACGGAAGGCACTCATTTTATGAATTATCTCCTTCAAAAATTATGGAATCCCATCTTATTTGGTTAATTAAGTGTAATTCAATACATAACATGAATTTTATATATTGATAACCATTAATATACATATTTATCCACGGAAATCGTCTGCAAATAAAGGCTTAATAACAATAATGGGAGCCTTGAGTGAAACTTCAACTTATTATAGGTTCATTATGGCAGCGCCAGGACATCAAAGGATTGTTGCTAAAACTTTCTCTTCTCTAAGCCATAAATGTATAACTTTCTATCGATGATGGAAGCCATGAAAACTATAGTCTACTTGAATAAAAAGCACTGATGTTAACCTCTACTGCTTCATATACGTTCAAAGTTACGCAGTAAATCAGAACAAAAACAACTTTGTTTTGCCCATTGGAGCCTAAACAGTTCATTCACATATTAGGTTATAGCCAATCCCCAGAAATACAGAACTCTGGAGTTAATTCGTCGTTGCTTGGAATGTAGGAATAATTCAGGAGAATTAGGCGCTCAGGCAATCGAGGTAACTTCGTAAATACAGAGACGATTCTCGGCAGCGGTGAAGCGGCGTCACTTGAGTGGTCCTCGAGTCTCGGCTATCGAGGCTGAGTTCAGGTGATGCAGAGATCATGAGTCTAAAATTAAACAGAAGCGAGTCTCTGATACCGAGATACGAACAGTTTTTAGATCATTCATCCGCTGTTGAAACTGTTGTTATAACATCGAATCATGCATGCAAGAGATAGGGGAAAAATGCCAATAACTTCATTTAGAAGCAACGCGATTCATTTAGAAACCCGCTTAGAGAATTAATATTTTATTAATATCCGCTGAAAAGAAATAACATATCAAGATATTACGAATATCCGCTTAAATGAACTTTCTAGCCATAACTTCTATAAACCCTCTAAGTTAGGTTCCAAAGACCGTCGATTTACTGCTGAAAAATTTATATGCTTTCATGATTACATGGCTGTAAAATTATAAATTCAACAGGGGCTCAGTTTTCATGTACTGTTAAGACTTGCTTGAGCTCCGATTACCGTTAAATTTTCATTGGTGAATTTAATTACGACGAGTTCCAAAAACATTATTTTTCCGACTTTGAGCAGAGTCAGATTTATCAACTTTGTAGTATACTTTTGATCTATATTCTTTGTTCCATATTCAATTATTATTAGCCTGAAACAGCCCGCAATATAATTATAACTTAACATTGAATAAGAATTCCACAGTGATCATTTCAACTTATTTGATTTCAAAATGGCGACAATCTTACGAGGAACAGCTGGTGGGAAGTGTGGAACAGCTGAAAACGTTTCGGAGAGAGACGCATTCCTTCATGTGTTCTCTGTTCTTTTCTTTTCATGTGCTTTCAAAACCCTTAGATTGAGAACTTTATTGATCAGAAGAAGCAAAAATAAATCTGCAAAGAATTCGAGCGATTAAATGTTTGCTTATGGCTTTTTTAAACAAGGCTATGTCGAAAAAAAAAACATACAAAAAATATAACTGAGTACTCACTGCAGTGAGTGACAGAGAGCGCATTTTCTCGTCGACGAAAACGAAGTCACGGACGGACAGACAGACGAAGGGACATGGCGAGCACAAAAGGGCATTTTTCCCATAAAGGAGAAAATGTGCCAAAATGTTATTAAAATTTTATCTTGTCATACAAACTAGAAGTGCATGCTAATTACTGCAAACGGCAGCGCACAGTTCGACGTGAATACGTAGGGCAGAATATTATAGTTGACACTGCCGCTACGAAGACTCTAGCCACGATACTCTGCATCTCCAGAGTTGAGGTTGCTGAATTACATGTACACGTACGCAGATGCACACAGCACACAACTCTATTTCCAACGTAAACCAAATCAAATGAAGGCTAAGGCTCTAGGAGTCACTTTTGTAAGATGTGTTTCACTCTCACATCCAGGAGTAAGATGAACCTTTATTCAAACTATACTTGTTATAAAGAGAGGGTTGACATTGAGCAAGTTTTTTATAATCGAAACTTTGAATTATGGCTATCATGTTTCAGATGCAGGTCCAAAGATAAGTACGAATAGGTAGTGAAGCAATTTTTTTTCCAGCCATTACTCTATGCATAAATAAAAAAATATCATTTAATCACCAGTTACGACTGATGCATATTTAACAAGAAGTGGCAGAAAATTTTACTTGATAGCTATTTTTAATTGCTTGAAACATTGATATGTGAGTGCATTTCAAATTAGGCAGCTCATCAAATAGCAAAAAAAATTTCTCCGATTTAGAGCAAATCACATTTTTAATGTACAATCTATAAGCGGTGAATGGATACTGTGCTTGCAAGTAGAAAACTTACAATTGTTAGTTTTAAGCTACACAGATAGACGGTTAAGAATATTTAAAAATTTTGGCAGGTGAAGCATTTTCCGTAGAATTATCAAGAGAATTTCGCGTAGAAGAATTTTCCGAATCAAGAATTTTCCGTAGAATTATCAACGTTAAGATACTCTACCGTTGTTGTAAGATCATACCTGAAGTGGTATAGTATTATACCACGTTTTTCTTAGCTCGCTTTCGTGTCCGTCTGTCTGTGATGATCAAATCTTGCAATCGATATTTCACCAACTTTCCCGCTAGCTAGCGCTCTGAAACTTTTAGGGAAGCTCAGCTCCCGATGACAATACAATAATGAATAATTTGTTGCACGTTTCCAGGCGTATTTATTCAATGAAATGTATGAAATGGAATACGGGAACAACAATGTATCCCCTCGAATACAATTTTCTACAGAACTTCGGAAAGAATTTTCTTTCGTGCATTTGCGTGGCCAACTGAAATAAAATGAACTGAAATTTTCATGTGTAGGAACGGACTAACAAGGAGAAAATAAAATACTTAAAAAAACTTTAAAAAAAGCACGTTTTTCTTGCGGACTAAAAAGTAGAAAATAAATTATGGATCGCCCCAAAAAACGTGTGTCGGGCAGATTTATGATTAAAGCGAAAAGCACACACCACACGAATTTTGGAAATTTGATGGTGAACGTACAGCCCGACACACGTTTTTTGGGGCGAGCCATAATTTATTTTTTACTTTTTAGTCCACAAGAAAAACGTGTTTTTTTTAAGTTTTTTTTAAGTATTTTATTACTTGTAGATATGAAAGACTGCGGTACTGCAACAATTTACCATAAAACTTTATTTCAAATTTCATTAGGTGGAGGTCTAAAAATTGTTCAGTGACCACTTTTCCTTATTTCTCTTGAAACAATGCTTCGTCAACAAATGCTCTTAATTGAGAAAGAATTCAGTGAAGTTAACCTCTCCTCATCCATCTGTTCTATGTTTGTGAAATTTTGTTCGTTCGTGAGCATGATGCAGTATATATCTAGGCGAGTTGCTAGTGCCGGTATCCACAATACCTGTCGTACTGAGATATTAGGTGGGTCTGAAAAGTTATCACAGTGTAAGCATCATGAGGTATTACGAATGGAGGAGGGAAGGGGATTTAATTTTTGCTAAATAAATTACAAATTGAATATTTCTTCATGGTTTGAAGCGGTATTTAAATGAAAATTATATCTTAAATGGGGATTTGAACGGATAATTTCTAATTAAAGTCAAATTAATTTAGTTTCAATATAAGTGGCTGGATTCAGGATAACCGGGTTTTTAAATCTCTACGTGCCTTTTTCCCGGCACCGCCGAGTTAGGCAGCTACTGCATTAGATATTTAAAAATGTTTGTTTGTGGTCGTGCTTGAGGGTTCGGGGCGTGACACTGGATATATTATTAAGGCTTATCGAGCGTGAATCCGCGCAAATTATTTTATCAGATATTACCTGGATCTGATACGTAATTTTTAGTGGAGGAATAAACCGCCGACAGGGATCTGGTTTGGAGAAATTTAATAAAAAATCAATTTTTAACCAGCTAAATATACTAAGCTTTTAATAACCAGCTTTTCTACATTAAAATTCAGTGTTGTGGTTATATGATAGTTCAATGTTAGAAGTAGATATGATTACCTACGTAACATTATTTCAGTTACAGTACTTTACCGTCATCCTTTCATCTTTAATTATTAGTCTGCCTCAAGCTACGGGGATAAATTAAGACAGTTAAGAAATTTCTCTAGATTTACAATTGTGCGCAGTGTGCATCAGTGCACGAAGGCTAATTTCCTATAACTTCCATGCTAGAGTAGCTGAGCATCGGGATTGAAGTCATCATACAGTCTTCTCGCTCACCTACAATACTCAGCTGTGGGCGGATTCGCGGACCAATGGACGTTCCGAATATTTAGCTTACTTAATTTATTTGACGTATATATATTATAATCCCTGAATATATGCAGACAATAACTTATTGAACACCACCTTCAGCTCATCTCCTCATGAAGTTTTTAAGATAGATAACAGATGGACTCGGCGATCGAGGTCTTCATAAAATGTGTATAGATCCTGATCTTATTTTCTTTAATTTTCCATTTTAATCTTAATCATTTCATTACATGGTGTAAACTCTTCGGCTCTTTATTTTTATAAGTAATTAAAAATATTATTTTTATGTTTTATTTATAATTGTGTAGTTGGTGACGGTTAAATCTATCGTAGAACTCAAGGGAAGTAACCCTATAATGTTCTCCGCTCACAGATACCGGGTACTTTACGACCGCCATTAAAATGTAACGAAGCAAAATTATCGAAGAAAGCAAGCGTTTTACGGGTTGGCCTTACTTATAAAAGAATTCCTAAACTGCCTGAACCAATTTGACGTTTCACCTGAATTCAAATTTAAATATTTTTAATACAGGCTTCGGTGTAATTTTATGTAAAATCCTCAAAGAAGGTTTTATGTCAATGACAAATGAAATTTGTAAGCCCGATTGATCTACGATTGGGTAAAATATGCTTTTTATCATTTAATTTAATGAACATTAAATTTGTTTAGAATGAAAATAATAGTAAATTTTTAGTTTTTGAATGATTCATCCGGGATACAACTTAGTTTGAATTTAATTCTGGTTTATTGGCGCAAATTTCTCGCAAGAAGATGGAGCCTCATTAGGATAATGTAAAAAATTTCGCACCTTTAATAACAATGCAGTTTCCAGTAAAACGATCGAAGCGCTTATTCTTTGTTTTTTCATTATTATGTGTGATTCTGTTGCTTTTTTCTTTGCCAAGAAGTTTCTTTAATAATTTTAATGCTTTGTATTTTCATATATAATTTATTAAAAACTTTAGCTGCAACTTAGACCGTATTTTCAATTTAGACTGACTATTTAAGAGTTTGATAAAGTTTTTAAAACATCTTATATTAATATTCTGTTAATGCGTGGGAACTCTAGTAATATCCACTGTGCTAACAAAATTTGGAAATAAAGTAAGCTCACCTGCTGTGTCGGCCACGACCTCCAAAACATCACTAGGGGAATCCGATTGTACGTTGCGACGAGCGCCAAATCTCACTGGAAAATCGGCCTCTTCTGTTGAAACCAACGCCCTTCCTTGCTTCCTGACACCAACCAAAGTGTCGCGATGACCTCCGTTTTGTTCATGTGTTAGCGTGAGGATCTCGTGATCCTCATAGATTGGCAGTTTCTCGGGTGTTCTTCGTTGTTGCCCATTTGTCGCCTGCAGGCCAATTGATGGAGCAGAAACAGGCAGCAGCGTCGCGCACGAAAATGGCATCCCACAGGCGACTAGAGTGGAATTTTGATCAGAGAAGGTCTCGGATGAGTGAGCGTTGCTGGGCATGGCTTTCAAGGGGACCGCAAACCGCTTATTATTACTTATATTTGCTACGCCTTTTGGTTGTACATATTTTTGCAGATTTTTATTGCTTATGTTTTGACCATAATCACGGGGTGGAACTAAATCTGTCATAAATTTCACTTGTGCGGGCGGTTTTGTGCTTGCATAAATTTCTGGCTGATGCCGGTCTGAAGAAGATGTTGAAGCATCGTTGAGATTAAGGCCATTCTGGGAGTTGGTGCGACCCACTTGATGGACTGATCTTGAAAAAATATTTTCACCCATGGTGTGGTTATTACTATTGCGCGTTGAATTATAGGCAGATGTTGAAATTGCATTTATAGATTGATATATGTCTTTTGACTTTCGTTCTCGCTTGTAAGAGATGTCCACATTCTTCTTCTTAATCTGGCTTTGATTAGGGATTTTTTCGGTATCGAGAACAAGTGGAATAGGCGAAGATTTTGAAATGAAGTTAACTTTATGCAGAGGTGCAATATTAATGATATATTTGCTGATCGCATCTTGTTTGATAGCGTATTTCCTGCTGCTTGTTGCTGGGTAATTACTGAGAAGGTTCCCTCTTGGTGGGAAATTACCTTCAATTTCAGTTTCAGCCGAGAGGTTCTGCTTGAAACCACGAGCTGTCTGTAGGAAAACTAGCACCATGGCGTTGATGAGAATAACTTTGACTTTTAACAATTGCATTCTTTTCTTCATACTGCACGTTGAAAACGAGTGCTAACTAATATTAGGATCTGTAAAAGTGCATTTATAATTTTAGTGTTTCACTACATACATGCTTCGACACTAGCGGTACTTTCTTTAAGAGCAATCACCTAAATAGTCAGTAATTCATAGAACATAGACAATTACCGTAGTAGTATAGACAATAGGCCTACCGTCACACTTTGCATAAACAGCTTAAATCATAGGCCACCACAACCATTTACCCCGAATCTTGTCTAACAAAATTAACCAATTACCCCTGAATAAAACCTATTCATTTACTCACAATCTTATTTCGAATATTACCCATCGTAACACTTTGCATAAACAGCTTAAATCATAGGTTTCCGATAATATCATTTACCACAATCATTTACCCCGAATCTTGCCCAACAAAATTAACCAATTACCTTCAATATTATTACGAACAATTACCCCCGAACCTGCATAAACAGGATACCGATCATTTATCCAACAAAATTAACCAATTACTCCCGAAATCATGAGTTTAATGTTTATGCAAAGTGTTACGATGGGTAATATTCGAAATAAGATTGTGAGTAAATGAATAGGTTTTATTCAGGGGTAATTGGTTAATTTTGTTAGACAAGATTCGGGGTAAATGGTTGTGGTGGCCTATGATTTAAGCTGTTTATGCAAAGTGTGACGGTAGGCCTATTGTCTATACTACTTACCGTAGTCACTAAATTCCAGGAAAAAAGTCATTGCCAATAAGTTATCCAAATAGATTAATTGAATCTTGCTAAATTCGCTTTGATTTCTCTTGCAACTCGATCAGAACAAAATAAAAATGGCCACACAGCTCAGCTTGATTCTGCTACGCAACACTAATCTCATCAACATCACAATTAGCACCGGAATAATTGTAACGGCAAGCTTGGGTTTTCCTGCGCATAAATTGATTCAAAACTGCTACAGTAAAATAAAAAAAAAAGAGGAAGTAAATGCCTCTGCATCCAGAGTGGGCTGCTATTTCCAATTTAGCTTTTTTTTGTTTGAAATTTGTAACTTTAAAGGAAAGAAAGAAAGGGCATGAGTATATGTAAAGAATTTTTCATCGCAGAACCCAAAACAGACTTTATGAGTTAAAATTTTGGCAGCATGCGCCAATTCTTGAATTCTCACTTCGTCTTGAATCTACAGGACATCCGTTATGCTGAAGATACCACATCCGATCTGATCGAATATTGTGTCGAAAGATATTAATTTCGTCTATAAATTTAATCCAAAAATGTATCACCGATAAAGTAATCTACTACAAATCTATATATGATGTGAAATTACTTGCACGAAATCTAATTTTATTGATATAATTGAAACGATTACAAGATGTACTGGGAATAAAATGTCATTCACGCAGCTTTTTCAGACTTGCAGCTACGGCTGCTGCATGCCTCGCTAATCAGTTTTCGTTCTGCGTATGTCATGTTAAACGCGGAACACTTAGAGATTCGAATAACATTACATTGGAACGACATGCATAGAACTCTGATACAGACATGCATGGGAATCTGATATAAACATGCTAAGAAATCTGATATACATGCATGGAAATCTGATATAAACATGCTAAGAAATCTGCTATAGACATGCATGGAAATCTGATATAAACATGCTAAGAAATCTGATAAAGACATGCATGGAAATCTGATATAAACATGTTAAGAAATCTGATATTGACATGCATGGGAATCTGATATAGACATGCATGGGAATCTGATATAGACATGCATGGGAATCTGATATAGACATGCTTGGAAATCAGATATAAACATGCTAAGAAATCTGATATAGACATGCATGGAACTCTGATAAAGACATGCTTGAACTCTGATATAGACATGCATAGAGCTCTGATATGGACATGTATAGAAATCTGATATGGACATGCTTAGAAATCTGATATAAACATGCTTGAACTCTGAGATAGACATGCGTGGAACTCTGATATAGACATGTAGGTATAGAGTTTTGATATAGACATGCAGAGAACTCTTAAATAGACATGCTTAGAACTCTGATATAGACATGCAGAGATACTGATATAGAGCATACATCAGTTCGAGGGAAGTCCTGACAATCGTTCCAAATGATACAGTATTGTATCATTTATTTACTGTATCCAAATGATTGAGTTGTGTATAATTTGAATCAATTTTACACGCAAACTTGCGAGCATTGCCCGAAGTTGGGCATCTGACCCCAGCATTGAATTCCACAGCAAATCAATGATATCAATATATCGGTGGTCTGTATATTTGTATTGGAAACATTGTAAACTTTATCAAGTATTATTTTAGAAATAAAGTTTTGTCATAATTAGTAAGCAATCAAGAACAAGCAATTTCGAGGGAACTAGCAATTCCGAGAGAAAGTTATACTATTGACATTATATGAAGAAAATGACTCATGTATTACAATGTTTTAAAAATTTGGTAAAAAAGTTTTTTTAAAATAATTTTCTGAAAAAATTTTCTTTTGAGAAAATACAGCCAGAGATTTTTAGCGAATATCAACAGAAATTGTTCACAAATTTTATATTCTAGGCGTGCCATGCAAAATTCAATTCATGGACTGAATATTTAAAAAAAATCGAGTACAAAAAGAGTATAAAAAATAATTTTCGTTTCAATTGACGCAGCAAAATAATCACAATTATCACAACAGAATAATTTTGTCCGTTAAAGCGCGACAAACGCCGAGTTTAGCGCGCCACTGTCGCATTAAGGGAAGTAATTATGAATAGAATGGCTTCTGAGTAAACGCTAATTGAACAGTTGAACGCTTCTCACGGAACTGTGTTGATTTGTGCGGCATCACTGAGAGGCTAATGTAATTATTTGGCTTTGCCTCGAGATATAACAATCAAGGAGAGTTGGTTAGGACAATTATAGCGACTATCTGACTCCAAATCTTCGAGTGATTCTGCAGAAATTTGACAAATTCTTTCATTTTCTCTAAGCTCAACAGAAACGAAAGCATTTTAATAATGTGGTTATTGGTTGCAAGTTGTCATCCCAGCACACTGCTCCTCGTAACACGGCCCCTTATAGTGGTACGCATTTCTGTCCTGAGAATAAAAAGCGTGACGTGGCATAAAAAATCATTTAAATGAAGATATTTCCAAATGCAGACTTTCATTATTGAGGAAACCTGATGTTATTTGTTAGGTTTGAGTTCAGTTAGATTCCTGCCAGTAAGGAATGGTGCAGCTAAACGGAATTTTAGAAAGTGCAGACTGAATATGCAGCAAAAAAATGTAAAAATAAAATCGTTAAGTGCTCGATTTGACAACGCAAAAAATTGCTAAAGGTTTATGCTTACTGGGCTAAGGGTTTATAGTCAATTCCAAGCCATCTTGTGATTGCATACGGAAATGATTAGTGATCTGAATATACTACTATAAATCTTCCGGTGCTATTGTCACTTTGCCTCATTCCATGCAATTTCTTATGTATATATTTGATTACATTAACTTATTTTCCCCCGATAACAATTGAATCACTGATCATCATTTATCCCCCTCAACATATTCCTTTGTTCCACTAACTCCTCTTCATAATTATTGTTTTGTTGCTATGAACTTATTACTTGTTCAAATTTTATCCCATCTTAACTTCTTTTTACACCTGTTTTCCTTCGTTCACTTTTCTGCCACGTTCTCTTCATTCTTTTCCTTCTCTGCTTTGTTCACAGCCACCGATAGAATCGTCGAGCAGAGCAACGCACGCGGCTCACAAGTTCATATTTCATATAATATACTTCATATAATATAATATTTTATAATAATATAATATTTATATAATATTTAATATAATATTTCATAATATTTCATATTTTGCGGGTGCGGAAATCAGAGAAAGTTTGTTGTCAACAAAATTAGGAAAGCAGATTTTCTAAATGTGTTGAAGTTGTAACAATAGCCAGTTCATAGCAAAGTCAAAACCTAAACTAAAAATCGAAATTTGTTATCGACGCAAGTTTGGAAACAAAAACTTGACTCTTCACAGATTCAATAGAAGAATGATTTTTAATATATTTAGTTAATACATACAAGATAAATCATATCATTCAATATCTTGGGTATAGAAAAGAAATGAATTATGAATCGAATGCAGTTTCTATATTATCTTTAAATGCAAGTGCAGTAACTGGTGTATATTCATATCAGCATGTTTGCCGTATGTGATATAAGTCATAATAAGTGAATATCAAATTTCTTATATCATTGGTGTGCTTAAATCGCAAGTTCACCAAGAATTCAAAAACAAAGACAACGCCAAAAAAATGAGGACATGGTGAATTTTCTTGACATTTTCTTCGCTTTTAAATTCTTGGTGTACGTCCAAGTTGAAATGTACTGAGTTTTGAGTTATTTTTCTTATCTAGGACTGTCGTATTTTAGGCAGCGAGTTCTCTTTATCACCAAACTTCACGCTCTCTTCAAACGGTTCCCGATATCCGCAGAAAATTCCACGTAAATTATTGAGCAATGAAGCTGAGTGCATAAATGGCCAGTGTTGGTAGCGTTGGAGGCTCGAAACACGACAACCATGGATGATGGTGACAGTGGTCTGGTGACAGTGACTTCAGGATTTGCTGCGACTGGTGACAGTGACTTCAGAATATGCTGTGAGAGGTGACAGGGACTTCAGAATATGCTGCGACAGGTAACAGTGACTTCAGGGTATACTGCGCCAGGTGACAATGACTTCAGGATATGCTGCGACAGGTAACAGTGACTTCAGGGTATACTGCGCCAGGTGACAATGACTTCAGGATATGCTGCGACAGGTGACAGTGACTTCAGGGTATACTGCGCCAGGTGACAATGACTTCAGGATATGCTGCGCCAGGTGACAGTGACGTCAGGATATGCAGCAAGAGGTGACAGTGACTTTAGGTTATGCTGTGACAGTGATTTCAGGATAAGGTGAGATAGGTTACAGTGACTTCAGGATATGTTGCGACAGTTAATAGTGACTTCAGGATGTTCTGCGCCAGGTTACA